ATGTGCTTCAAAGAAAAAGGCCGGACTGGTGCCTTTCCCTTAATGTCTGTTGCCTTTGTTTAAGGACTGATGATACGGGGCTCATCTATTTTTATCCCGTCCCTTGTTTCTTACCTTTGGGACTGGTTCTCCTCTCTTTGGGTGCAGCTGGAATCCCTCCCGTGTATGCTAAGCCTTTTTTTACCCCACCCCACTTTCTTCCGTCAACCAAAGAAAGGGGTAGGGTGATGTGGGGATTAAGAACAGCCATTCTTTGGTCGATTTGCGAAGACAGAAACAACAGGATCTTCCAAGGGCAAGAAAAATCCAAGGAAGCACTTGTTGAGGGCTTTACCATCAAAATTTTACATTGGCTGAAAATTCTGCAACTATTCAAGGACCTCTTTTATGATGATTTGCTTAGAGGATGGAGCCTCATAGCTTCTTCCACCCATTCTCATATTATGTAGGAGAGTTGGTCCCCTTCTCTGCAGGCTAGAGTAAAGCTGAACTTTGATGGTAGTTCTCTAGGCAATCTGGGTCTTTCAGGCAATGGGGGAGTCTTCCGAGAYGAGGAAGGAAAGGTGTTGGCCCTCTTCTCGGGTCCAATTGGGGTGGGAGACTCACTAAGGGCAGAAATAAAGGCCCTACTACAAGGGCTGAGGTGNAAAAAAAAAGTGCATCAGGTGCATGTATTCATATGTATATAATTTCTCTCTTACAAGTGCATTCCCATGAAAGAAATGTAAATAGTTGGAGGAAGAGGTTGGCATATAGATAAAAGTTGCTTACTAGCATATGCAAATATTTTTCACAGAGAAAAAAAAAAATTGAAGAGATAAATCAGCACAGAGAAATACAGGGGCAGCCGGTGTCACTTACAAGAACATCTTGACCAATCCAGGCATATGATGTATTCTGATTTGCAGCCCAAAAAATTGCAAATGCCACACAAAAGGGTACAACACCAACAGAAAGAATTGATACCTCCCCAAAAATGGGAAGGTTTACCATCTTCTGCCCACAGTTTCGGAATATTCTGGTTCATAAAGCAAGATAAAAGTAAAAGGGGAAGAAATAGAAGGTACAAAACAGAAAGGGGAAAAGAAACTAAGAATATAAGGCTGCATTGGGATTTCGAAGCTGAACTGCAAGGTAAAATTCTGCTTCCCTCCACTACATGGTGAATTGAAGCTGAACTGCAAGTTCTAGATACTAGCAGATTCAATGTCTCCCTTTATCTCATCAATTTTACACTTCCTTCAAAATCCAAAACAGCCTAATGGCATACTGAAAAATAAACTGAACTTCAGTTAAGACTTACCTTACAATTAGAGTGACAATGCAAGTATGCATTCCCTGAAAAATGGAAACATATTCATATAAGTYTCACTTGCATACATCTATTGCACAAATTTAGTCTAACAGATCAAGTGATCAACAAAACAGTTAATTTCACTTATTAGTAAAACAGGCAATCAGAATTCAGAAAATGCATTCATTGTTTTGGTATCTGATTCATATGAAAGGATACTGCATGGTCCACRTGTTAATGTAGAAAACAAGGTTATCATGGTAAAAAGATCATTGGATAATTCTTTTACTAGCAATCTAAAAAGGGTGTTTTAACAAAAATAGATCATAGTAAGAACAAAATTGGAGGATAGCCCAAACCCCACAAGGGACTCCTCTGTGTAGAGATAGGGGTTAAGAGTGGTTGTGTCATATTACTATAGTGCTTATTGTACTGTTTTATATCTTTTCTTTTATTTCAGCCCTATAAGGGCATTATTGTAATTGTACATACAATAATATATTTTTTTGCATCTTTGGGGGTTAGTTCATTCAAACACCCTTCAGTTTGTTTGTCTTTTCATTTTGCCTCTCTCAATCCTCTTCTCAGAAAACGGAAAAAGGCTATCATGGTATCAGAGCAACAATATGGGCAATATTGTTGAAGGAATGAAGATGAAGACGAGTTTTTGAAACTCTTGCTTATTTTACTTCTGCATGACTGCATCTACATCTTTTTTTGAGTCATAAAAATAATGTTTGGGATTTATGGCATAAATTATTGAGCCATCCTAGTTTTCAAAATTTGAAATTATTATTTGATACTGGCTTGAATAAGAATAAAATTTATTCTATTCAGTCTTTTGATATTTCTTGTACTACTTGTTTGAGTAAAAGCCGCATCTACTTTTCCTAGCTCAGTTGAACATGCTACTTCTCCCTTTGAGATCATACACAATCGTTTATTTATGACTGCACCCAATATACTTGGATATACTTTCTTTGACAAAAAATCAGAAGTACTCCCTACATTTAAGTTGTTTGATGCTATGGTTAGGAATCGATTCAAGTCACATATTAGCATTCTATGTTCGGATTCAAGGGGAAAATATGCTGATGGTGAAATTTTATCATTTTTGAGAAGCAATGGGATACAACCTCAACAAAGTTGTCCCAA